CTTAACGTGCCAAAGGGGGAAGTAAATATACTCAAAAGTTCAATTTATTCTGAATTTGTTGGGTACACTAACACTGGCCCAAACTGCCGAGAATTAGGCAGATTGAAACTAATTTGCCGGTAATGCATTCTAGCACCCTGGGCCAAAATTATGATCACAAGAACAGGTACCTGTAAGATGGTCCCTTTCGAGCGCTGTCTCGACAATGGACAATCGCACTGGGTCAGATACTGTTGCCATGGAAACCTGCCAAGAGGGAGGCAGCTAATGGCTGCCGACGACCATCATATGGGACAGCCCCGAGTTACTGCCACTATTCTTTGGACCCCGTATTTGTGATGGCACTTCCTAAACTCTGCTGGAAGATGACCTGGGGCATTTCAGCAACAATCAATTGATCGGCAGGCATCCCCTATTTACACACACAGACACGCACCCACTCACTCCAGTAACTAATTCTATGGATCAGACCGCTGAGAGTTGGAGAAGCATCTAACAAGGACTCTCCTGGGGTGCAAGGCTATCTGCTCCCTGCTAATTTTCTGCATGTGGAAGGTAGCCACACGCCTCATTCTCTCTATCTGTGCCAAACCAATTGCAATGAAACACAAAATGTACTGAACATGTACATTTTCAGAGCTTTAATAATCAGAGCTGTAATAATACCTACCCGGATATGTAGAAACAAAACCAAGCAAAATCTTTGTAACTCCTGAAAAAAAAAACCATCAGTTGTTGGGGCAGGCTTTTTTTCCCTGTTATTTCACCCTTTTAGCTATTGGCCCAAATGTGCATACATGTAATTTTCCTTAACAACACAGCATGGAAAACAATGTTAACTGGGGTATTTGCACGCATGCAAGATAAGGGGTTGGCTGAAGACAATTCAACAGGAACGACAAAGCCACAACATATGTGCCTTTTCCTGGCAATACCCATAACAGATAACAAGTGGACTCATGACCTCATCAACCCCGATAAGACAATGCATCCACAGCTGGTTTAGTGTATCAAGTTAGCCATTCACGTTATTGAGCAGGAAACAACACAGTCCTTTTCCTGAAACCAGTCAACAAAATTAATTGGATATCATCAATATCGAACTTGTGACTCTTGTTTTTTTTTTAATTCAAACAGCAGAAATTTCTTCTTGTGAAAGTGAACACCGCTTTGGTGTGTATGATTGATATGCATCGGCATGCAAACCGTACACGTACAGATTGCTGTTCTAAAGCTGTGTAGTATAACCCAAGTCTACCAAGTAGAATGTGTCGTCACTGCTTTCATAAAGAGTCAGGCATGTCAAAAATTACCCTTTTTCTTACTGTCACTATTTTGTTTTTATAACATCGTGCTTGACCATTTTGACATGCTTCAACAAGTAAAACATAATCAATGTAAAAATTACATAAACGATGCCAGGGGGCAAACATCTTAATGACTACATTTTGCATTATCACAAAGAGACACGAACATGTCTGCCCCTTACCGCTTACAAACTGTAGTGCCCGGGAAGGCATAAAACTGAGATTTTCATTTTTACGAAGAGACACACATCTTTTTCCATTTATAGATGCATCTGTTTACGCATGCATGCACCTTTCCCATGGTTTTGAAAAACACACACAACAGAAGGGCCAGGATGTAGGAAAACAACGATTCTCATTTTCACAAAGGGCCGTGCATCGTTGATGACTAATTTTGGTTAATTAACCACAGTGTTCATTCCCATTCTCGAATCCGTGTAAAAGTTCACCTTTCAAAAAATCATTTGAAAGTTTCCTTACTGCATAAAGTTGTTGCAAAACATGTGTAGTTCTTGAAATTTCACTTGAAATTAATTATCTCAAAAAATCTATCCTTCAAAATCCACCTGTTTGTCAGTGTGAAAAATGGTGGCCGGAAGCAGCATGTCTAATCCCTTATTCGTCCAGCACTCATACACACGCAACATCTGGGAAGTCTTATAGAAATGGACCACATGTTGAACTGGAATTCTACTCCTGTACACAGCCTCCCTACAGTTGCCGATGAATGTGTCACATGCATGCACACATATGCCATTGATCGCTCTCCAGATGACCAAACATCTTTGCAGGGGCCTGGAGGAACGCTATAGTTTCTATTAGCTTGAACTAATCAACAATGCCTGAAAGACTGCACCTCGTAGTCTCCACAAAACTTGGGTTTCATCCAAATATTTTGAAAGAGCACGTCCCTCCTGGTCTATCTTTACAGCGCATTATGCTGCTTTGCAGCTGCGAGGGTGCCATATGAACTGTCCGCACAATGGGTAGAAAAGTTTCTCCCAAATCCTTCCTGAGTTCGAGTCTCATCTTTCCCACTTGTATTTATATTGCCAACCTCGGCAAATACTCCGCCTCTTATGCAGGCATCTTGTTTTACAGCACTCTGGCCAAATTGCACTTTCCATCAAAGGAAATCACGCGATTCAATCAAGCCAATACGTGCCTCTGTTTCTCTTTTCTCAATTTTTTGAAACTTCGTACCAATTTCAATGCGTCTTGTTGCGCATCGGTATCTCACATTTCCACGCATCTCTCAGATTCCCTCTTGATAGAAATTTGCAAAAAAAATTCTTTAATAAAGACGGGACTGCAGTAAGCATGCCAAATCATTTCTGATCACAACAGCTCCCAAGGTAAAAAAAAAAAAAATGGAACCAATGATATCTTAGGTGTCTTCCCTTAAGGCTAGAATTCAAGCGTCCATATTGTCGTCGATGCAACATGACCGTCTACATATTCTGATCAATTCGCAAATGAATCAAAGGCGGAAGACAATGACCTACCACAAGACAAGTAACAGATACATTTCAAAGCGCGCGCTGTTCTTTCTATGTTTCTCTTAATCCTTTAAAAACTGGACCCAAACCCAGTCTGACCCAGCCAACCACCCCCAGGTTGCATCCACTCTGTAAATTGATCCAAAATGGGGAACAGTAACCAAGAAGGCCCCAGGAGGTTGAAGCCTGAGAAAAAATCCAATATTAGATCTGTGGCATTCTTCTGAACATGACCATGAAAAGTACAGCCCCACTTGACCCAGAGATGCACAGGCAGTTTCAGCTACATCTATGCTTTCGGGATTAGAGACGGCCCACCATGCAAAACACATGTATCCCTTGCGCATATAAAAGAGTCTCTGTTTGGATCAGGGCAATTTCAGCCGATTGAAACATGACCAATACACAGCCTGTTGTTCCACCTGACCGAGATATCCATGTTGACGAGATGATGCATTATGAGAGGAGAGGAACCAGTATTCATCCCAGTGCTTATCATTCCCTGCACGCCTCGACAGAAATGAGAAGAGGAATTTTTACCCATCACGTCACTCACCGCACACTTTGAAGCAGGTTGGACGTCAAGCATCACACCTCCAATCCTATAAAATGGTTGGGGGGGAGGATTTCACAGACCTGTAGAACACATGCGTCTGCTCAGAACAGAATGTTTAGCTTTGCAACAGCTTTTGCAACAGTTACAGCTTAAGCGTCCTGTGATGTGAACTTGTCAGGACTGGTTTCCAGCTGTATCCAGATGTTTTACTGCTCAGCAAACAATTTGCCAAGTGTCATTTTCTAGTCCGGTACATGTATCTCAGTGAAATCAGGTCCAAGTGACAGATACGGAGGTCGCCATCAATTTCTACCTATGAACTACAAATGACATTTAGGGGAAGTGCACCCTCTCTAGTTTTATTAAAGGAGGGAAGTTCTTTTAGAAGTTGCTTCAGAGGAAACAAGTGCAGGAAGTACCAAACTAAGAAGCTGAACAGGTAAACCAAGTGATGATCAAACACTCCAGAAACATGTTTTTGATCGGGTGTTTTCTGCGGCCAATGGAACTGACCCAATTGCCAATTCCTGGAGTGTGAAGGCAGCTTGATTCAACCAAAACTGTCATCTGCATGCTGAGAAATATACGACCATATTGTGTCTTCCAACTTAACAACATACCAAAAACCCAAGATGCTGGTTTTACATGTAACCTCAATTTTAAGTAGATTGAACTCTTATTTCACCTCGGTAAGGACATTAAAGTTATCCATCAAACATAAAGCAGAAGTTATAATCAGTTCAAAATGCATGTAAATGCCCTAAGCAAAGCAATCATGATAACATGAGGCCCTCATGGCCAAATTCAAGTTCGAAGGTGTTGATTTTTGCAAGTTGAAAGCGAGCAAATTGCTGCTTTAAATTCTCATTGGCATTTGTCTTTGTGCTGATAAAGAACTCACCTTCATACAAAAATCTTGACCACTGTTTTCTGTGGGGCAGTGACAAAATGATCATGTTTTAAAATGGACCACACTACTACAAACAATTCTTTTTGAGAATCTGTAAAAATAAATTCCCTTTTGCTTTGTTTCCTTGAAGCTTAGCACTCCTCACATCGGCAAGCTCCCATCCCCCAGAACAGACTACAGAATGGATAATCTGATTTCAACTTGCTCTGGATCCCTCAATCCACGCTCAAACAAACTCACAGTCACAGCGTGAGCGAGTTTACCTGCATCAACAAGGAGCTGCTCAGGCAGACTCATGCATGGTATTTATTTTCAACTCCCCTTGAAGAAACAAGCAATCTGCTGTTTATTTAGTATTCCCCACAAACAAAAATGTCAAGGGCACTCCTGTTTTGTTTTGAAATGGAAAATAATGCTCCTGCAACATAAACAACAAAGGGTATACTCCCCAGCTGGAAAATATGTCCCCCCCTGCAGCCTGATACCACACTGGGGATATTTAAATTACCACAGCGCTCCTCCACTGAGATATACATGGACGATGTTCCCTCATTGAAAGACTTACCCAAATCACGTTATAATCCCTTTCGGAAGATACTGTCCTCTCCCCAAGGAGCTCAAGAAGGTATCTCCTTTGGGAGACATTCTCATGGCATGTTTATTAAATACCCAACCTTGGCCCTTTTCTCACACCCCAATCAAGGGAGTACAACCCCTCTAAAACCTACCTGCTTATCATCTACTGTGACTCCACTGATTCCATTCCCTCCTCTTCCTCTCCATCCCCTTCCCCTTCCTCCCCCTTGGGGACCTCTGCAGGAGGCTCGTACGCCTTCTCACTCGGGGTGACCACAACTCCATCCCACACAGACATCTCGGTTGCTATGGCTGCAGACAGAAAAGTAGGGAGACATATAATATGACTGTGCGCACGTCCCCGGCTAATCCCGATTCCCAGGCACGGTTTGCTCCGAGCTTCCTCTAAATGCTCCACTCAAATGTTGATACAACAGCAGGCAGACGACTCTTTTTGACACAACTACATATGTTTTTTGAGCTCAACCTTGCCCTCATCAAGCCTGACTTCCTTGCACCCAGTTGAATTGCAACAGAACCAAACAAGAGCAAACCATAATGCCTGCCGAACATGACAAAATCCACTGGAGTTTGGCCACTGCTGGACATTGTGGTACTTCAGCATGACTTAGAATACTTTTTTAAAAAATATATCTGTTGGGTTGTATGTATGAATTCGTAGATAACCACCTTCCTGAATTGTTACACAATTTTGTTCAATCTAATGGATAAATACATGAAAAGAGTACTCAGTAAAACTGCGTAAGCCTATATATGCCACATCAGAACAAGTATTTTGTAATACACTAGTTCATTTGAACCAAAAAAAACCTGGAACTTCCACTGTCTATAACTAATTGCCTTTAAAGTAATACATTCAAAAATAAACCAAAAACATGCCCACAAAATTCAAAGAAATACCAAATTTATTATTTTTAAAAGCTGGCTCGGCCATTCTACGTCGTTTAACTGTTTTACATTATTCCATTATTGTTAATAATTAGTTTCTGTTTGTCTCATTCTTTACTTTGACTGTTTTATTTGTAATTATCGCAAGCTTTGGCTCTTAGGGTGATGCCTCCAAAGCATGGAAAGAAATGTTGCCAAAGTTAGTCATTTCCAACACATCCATTTCATAAAGGAAGAACACCACGCTTTTGCAAGTCCACCTTATTGTCAAAAACTCTTATTACTGGATAGAATTTTTTTCTCCATCACATCAGATACATGCACACCTGTCACTGTCAACTATGACATGACAATGTGCGGTGCTGGTGTCATTTGTCATCATTTATGGACAGCCTTCTGTCCATTCAACAGGCTAACCATTACCAGTGGTGCATGGTCAGCTCACCCCCTCCTGCCCACTCATCACTGCACTGAGAATGCCATAAAATGCAGCAACTGACAACAGGGGCAAGTACCAGCACCTCCAAGGTCATGGCAACTGTAGCTGGATTTTTTTCATCTTGTTTTCTAAAAAACAACGAATGCCATAGGCATACACTGGTTTTTATCATTGTGCTATATGAAAGACCCCATTCTTCTACGCATTTTTCTTTTTCTCTCTTTCCGATTCCATTATCTCCTTAAGCGCACTGTACATCTTTCGGTCATTAGAAACGATCTACACGTTCTTTTAACCATGTATCATTTCATTTGACATGTAAAGTCCTGAGACTGGTCACATGTTGAACCAAAGTTTCAGGCAACAGTTGCTGAGGCTTTAAACATATTCTACTTTATTGACAGTTACTGCCTCACTTTGAATTGCGGTATCTTTGATGCTTATATTAACACCATGTCAGAAACATAATCTGGCACATGGGTTGCCCAATGTTCCATGTAAATGTCTACATCAGATGCTATACAATTAACACACACACTTAAAGCACATGTACCTGTGAATTGGTGAGGATATATACATGTACATATGCAACATGTTGCAGGTGGGTACCAAGAGGAAACTAACTGGCTAGCTTCATTTTCATGTACGGTAGTCCAAGTAGTTTCAGTATACATAGCTAGCAGGAAACCAATTGGCTCCAGCCGAGGTTTCATTCTTGCATTTGGCAGCCTATACACTGAGAAAAAGCTGCACAGTGTGACATGGCTCGAACTCAAGTCCAAAGAATAGCTGAACAGAGTTTGGCACTGTGTGAATTTCATCTAGCAATAATTTGCAGCTGTGCAAATGCAAATATTTGCATTTACCTTAAAGACACTGGTGAATCATGGGAATTTCTTTTTATCAGGCTACCGCACACAATAAATAGGCCTGTTTGGAATTTGATCATTCACCAATTTACACATCCCCATGCTGACCAAACAGAGACCTTTAACACTTGTGGGGGCATACCTACCGTGTTACACTAATGCAAGTATACTCAGGAACCTAATGCACATTTGTGCTGATAGTAAATTTACTCGTTTTCCGCTTGACTGCGACACCCAATCTAAATTACAGCATACAACCCCTTTACCTGTTTCTTCTCCTTCTCTTTCTCTCTTCTCTCAGGCCCAGCAGCACTAAGCCACTACTCCACTGATCAAGCCCCAGGGCCTGCCCCGCTGTTACACAATTGCCCCTTTGACCTAGCCACAACCTACATCACATTTACAGTTTTGCCCCTTTTCCATACCCTTTCCCTGGGAAGGATGCAGGTGCCCTATGCAGCTTGTCCATTGATGCCCTAGCAGTGAAAATTACATCACTGCTGGAAACCTGACACTCAATTGCCTCTAACATGAAATGTAAGAAGCAGGGCTGTGATACATGTATCGCACACTACGAATAATTCATATATTGAAATTCAAGATTGGGTGTCCATTTAAAAAAAAGTGGTGAAGTTAACCTAAAGATCCGATCACGATCATGATCTTAGACAAATGCAACTTATTCAAAATTTGGCAGCCAGAATGGTTATGAAAATATTATGATCACATTACATCTGTTTTGCTAGCTTTACATTGGTTGCCAATAAAGCAGAGGTGTGAATTTAAACTTTTGTGCTTGGTTTTCAAAATTTTGAATGGTAAAGCTCCGGTGTACCTGAAAGATCTTGTTAACATTCAACAAGTAACTAATTGAGAGTCATGCTCAAGGTCAGCCAGCAAAATGCAGCTCCACCAACCAGTGGAAAGAGTTGCCATTTTCTACAGTGATCGGGCTTTTTCGCTTTGCGCACCTCGATTATGGAATAATAATCTGCCTGTTTCAGTGTATCAGTTTCAATCATATGATAAATTTAAAAGGTGTCTCAAAACCTTCCTTTTTAATGAGTATTCTAACTAATTTTAATATTTAGATATGATTGTGTATGTTTTTATTTCATTGTTTCAATATCTTTATTGTACTGCACTTTCAGATACTTGGTACAAAAAGCATTTTTAAAATAACCGTGTGGTGTTACCCCACCAAGTGCATGTACACACACTGTTGCAGTATACAGCTTTGAAGTCGATTGTGCACGTCCTATACTGGGAATTCAGTCCTACAGTGCTTCTCAACATAGTAGACATCAAAACAATGAAAAATGGATAGGTCCCTTCATCATTGGGGAGAGGAAAGCCAGAGAGCATGCTGACACTGAACTTGTGCGAATGGGTGTTCATATTTGTGCATATCCCACTTACCTTTTTTTTTTAAACATCATTTCTTTATTTAAGCCATAAGCTATGGCCGTGTCCGAAACGGGCTTCCAGAGCTACGGCTAGGCCTATTGTCTACGCATTTCCACGCATTTCCAATGGAGCGAAGACCTAGACCTAGCTCTAGACAAGAGATTCGGATGCAGCCTTAGTTAAATTATAATTTATGTTACCGCCATAAAAAGTCATATCTATTTATTTCTTACTGTTTCCTGTCTAACCAGTTGGAGAGCCCCTCGATAGAAACCATGTTTCTTTTGGGTAATCCAGCGGGAGCTGGTTAAATACTTTTTATTTGTCTTTTGTATGTCTTGTGTATTCTCTCTCTCAACTGTAAACTTTGTTATTGTATCCTGTGAAATGTTGATCCCGAAAAATGAAATAAATGAAATGAAACGTCGATCTATGCAAACATGGGATGGAAGGTATACCAACAATCATAGGCCTACACTGTACATGTCGTTTCATGATACATCCTGGTGCTGTGGCGATGATAGAACTTGCACTGCTCCTGGGCAGCAAAATATATGTATCATACACCATAACATGAACTCCAGTCATGGCAGTCATGCCAGCTGTTTGATATATACACATGCATTGAACGTCTGTATTCTTTCACACATGTCATCCACTTACAGTATCTGAGCATCTCATCTTTCACATGTGTGGTCCACCTGCTGCATTTGAACATTTCACCTTATGGTTTTTCACACAGGGCAACTTCATCAAACTTTCACAACTGTTTACTCTTTACCTTACTTTTCATTGTGGGAGTCTATTTTTAATTCTTCATTTTTTTCATGACCGGGAAATGGTTATTTACGAATTCATTCTCTGGGGCCAGTAATTATTTGTCCCATTGAATTACCCACACTATGAATGTTAACATCCTCGGACCTATCAGCAGGATAACCCTGCATTTGTTTCGAGATATTAAAAACAAGTACAGCATGCTGAAAACTAGAAAGATAACAGAATCACAGCTGGCTAGAGGTTTTAAGAGAATCTATATGATGTCAAACGTATACCAGCTGTTAATCAAAATTGTAACTGATGAGGGAACGATTCATCAGACAAAAGAATACTATACTATATATTTTTATATGTACATGTACTGTTTACCGAAAATGGGTCACTTGGGAGACATTCCCATAGGAACGTGCATAAACTTTATTGTCCCATAATTAAATATTCCCTAATCTGATCTGAACCAAACTTTGTATGTTTTCAATTTAGACCATAATCTATCATCTCTCAAAATTTGGACAGTAAAATTCGGCCTCCTTCTGGTAGTTGGAGCATTAGGGGACATTGAAATGTCTCCCTAATGACCAATGTCTCCCTAAGGTTGAAAAATTTACCACAAAATGTCTCCCTAATGACCAATTTGTAATACTGTATAGTGAATACACATATACACTATACTATACATATTCGGGTCTAGTGCGAGAGCATCTGTAATTAAATTTCGCTGGGTGAACTTGACTAGAAAGATAGTGTGAAGATGACTTGTTGAGTCAGAGTGAGTGGCCCCAGTGGTACGTTCGACAGCCAATCCCAATTTGTCTGGACACTCCAGAATGAACTTCAGTGGGCTTTTTTTTCATCACGGCCAGCAACACCCGAGCCCAAAGCAGACGCACGACCCACAAAGATCCGAC